GGTAGTATCTTTCTCTTCATTTTTTCAGAATTATTTTGCAAAGTGATTTATTTCATTCAACTTGTAAGCGGGTGCTCAGTATATAATTGATTTTTTTCAGCATGATATGGACAGGTATAGGAAAGAGTCTTACTCGATAGACTCAAAGCGGAATAAAGAACTCAAGTCTCTGCGAGCAGAGAATGAAAGTTTGACCAAGAAAGTTCGAGAGCTGGAACAGAAGAATGATGATCTTGAAAGGGAATTAAGGTCCTACATTTTTGATCATTTGAGGCACATTTTCTTTACTGATTAAAATTAGAAATTTGCTTGGTTCTATATTCATATTTTAGTGCATACGTAGTTTACATCATTTTTAGTTTGTTAAGGCGGGGAGAGGTAGACTTGTAGTAAAGTACTTGTTTTTATTTTGCTTCTATATCATTTTTTCTTTTTTACAGAGTTTTAATAACTTGGTAGGTAATATGACTGTAGCTTATAGCTAGTGGTTTGTGAACATAGTGTTCTTATGGGGTGTTAATGCCGCTTTTGAGGAGATAGGTCCTTAGATAGCGTTGTTATTTAGCGGTTGTCTATCAGGCAATAACCTAATTAATTTGCATAATTATCTTATTGTGATCCCTAGTTTAATTTTGTTAGTTTAGAAGATTTTGAGCGTCATCCTTGTATAGAAGCACGTAGGATGTACTTTTTTTTGGCAGGTTGTGATGGGGGTTAGGTCTTCCCCGAAATAAGTGAATGGGAGGGAACTGATGTTTGTACATCCGGTAGAGGCTTTTTAAGTAATGAGATTTTTTTGGTTGGTTTTGATTTCTCATTCGACTATTGATATCATATTCTAATTGAAACTTTTAAACGTCCTTATTAAAAAAATTTGCTCACTTTAAGCTACATAAAATTCAGTGGCTGCCGGGAGGGGTACGTTACGGAAGGCAATATAACAATAGAAAGATTATGAGTAGTAGCAGTAATGATAGTGATATTACTATTAAAAGCAACAACATTTTATGCATATCCCTTCTGAACGAGTGGGAAACTTGCTGGTCTTGAGTACTCTATGAATTTTTTCGGACGAGTAATAGGTTTCTTTCTAAAGGCTGTTAGGGAAGAGGAAGGGGCACGTTTCAAGCTTTCAGACGATTAAAAATCCTTCCAAGTATCGTTCTTTTGGATTGCTATAAAACATGAATGAATTACTTCAAAGTGTTTTATAAACTGTGTTTTGTGCTGTAGAAATCAGAAAAAAAAGCAATTTTTTTAGGTGGGAGGTGGGGGTTATATTTGTGAAATTTATCTGTTCAATCAGTCAAGTAATTCGTCAGGAGAGTTTTAGATTTTTCGGTTGGATTCTGTCCTTTTTTCTTTGGTTATTTTATATTCAGTGTTATTTGGTCCTCAGTTTATTGCCATTAATGTTCCTTGCCGAATTAATCGAAGAACCTTTTTGAAAGTCCGTAGTTCCGATAGTATTTTTGGTCACCTTCTGTATTCGAAAAGCAGTACTTTCATTGTATTTTATCGATGAATATCTTGTAACCAAGGTTTTTCGACTTTCACTTCAGATATTCGTCAAATATGATGGATCAGTTTGAAGTTTTCAATGGGAACTTTTTTCACCAATTTTTTTTCGCAAGCAAACTCTTTTCTATTAAAATTAGCTTTAGGGAAGAGATTTAGTTTAGGAGATTTACTTTTCTTTTGATGTTCTCTGGGCGCCACGAATTATCTTTTTTTGTTCCTTCATCATTTGTGGCGCCTTCATAAAGGTTATATGATTCTAATATAACCATATATAATCCGTGTTTTAGGATTTTCTCTTTAATAAGTTCTTGATAGAGTTTCAGAATCAATGTTGAAACGCTGAAAGACACTGAAAAAATGTTGAACGAGGAACTGGAATCTCGGGCATTGTTATCAGCTGAACTAGAAGCTAAAGAAGAACTTGGGGTGAATTCATACCTTTTTATGTTTTGTTACATGTTTTATTTCTATCAATTTTCTAGGTATGTTTGCATACTGTATACTGAACTTTCGTTAGGGTACAGTCTAGCTATATTTCTT